GCTGTCCCACACTGGCGCTTTGTGATTGTCGTGAACTACGGTGCTGTCCCACACTGGCGCTTTGTGATTGTCGTGAACTACGGTGCTGTCCCACATGCTGATTCTGCTGAGGCAGGGAATTTTTTTTGTAATTGTGAAGACTTCTTGATTCCTGCCCATCAAAAGAAATCCTGGGGGCCGGGCACGGTGGCTCACACCTGTAATCCCAGCACTTTGGGAGGCTGAGGCAGGTGGGTTGCTGGAGCCCAGGAGTTTGAGACCAGCCTGGGCAACATAGCACGATCCCATCTCTAGACGCCTGGGCATAGTGGCACCTGTGCCTGTGGTCCCAGCTCCTCTGGAGGCTGAAGTGGGAGGACTCCCTTGAGCCAGGAATTGGAGGCTGCAGTGAACTATGATTGCACCACTGCACTCCCGCCTGGGCGACAGAGTGAGATCCTGAATCTAAAAAAAAAAAAAAAGTCCACAGACGGAAGGTGCCGTTGGGAGCCCTGGTAGAAATCCACGTTCTTGGCTGAAGCTCAGAGAGCCTCGTGGCCGTCAGGGCGCTGCCCCCTGCCCCCCGGGTAGGCGCTTTTGTCTTTGGATCGCCTGCTTTTCCAGATCGTCTAAAAAAAGACTCCTGAAGACGAGGACGTTCACGAGGAAAGAGTTGCCGTTTTGAGCTTTTTAAGCAGTTGCTGAAAGCTTGGCAGACTGCCTGGATTTTTCCTCAGTAGGCGTCAGTGAAGTCAGGTCCAGGCCGTGGTGTGTCTGGAATGCTTCAAGCACATTCGAACACTTGATTGTAAGGGAGAGCCAGTACTTTGGAACGGAACTCACCCGAGGCTGTGGCCATGGCATGGGCAGGCTAAGCTGGGAGACAAGCCCCGTGTCTTTGGGAACAAGGGTTTGCACGGCCATTCTGGGATGCCCTGGGACTCATGACCGGACAGGACCCCAGCAGGGAGGCCGTCTGGCTTGGAGGGTCTGGTCTAACAGCCGGACTTGGCCTTGAACCGTCGCCCTGTCCCGCACAGACGCCTGCTGAGCCCGGAGCCCTGGCAGAGGCGGGTCTGAGGAGTGGAGCTGCCGGCAGGCCTCCCATTTCTCGCGTCCTTGGTGTTCTCCGGGTCACCCAGAGAACTGTCAAATGCTGGATTTGACAAACTGTGTAGAACGTTCTTTGTGTCTTTAAGGTCCTCTTGTGGTCCTATTTGGACATTTTGTGCATTTTCAGACACCTGCGGGTCACGTGGGTGGATGGGAAGCTGGGCACCTGGTGAGGGTGCTGAGAGCTGGAGCTGTGTTTTGTCTCTGTTGATGCGGTGAGGCCCTGGGTTGGTCATTGGGTTTGATTGGTTGGTTGGTTTTTGAGAAGGAGTCTCGCTCTATCACCCAGGCTGGAGTGCAGTGTGCAATGGCATGATCTTGGCTCATTGCAACATCTGCTTCCTGGGTTCAAGCGATTCTCCTCCTGCCTCAGTCTCCTGAGCAGCTGGGATTACAGGCGCCACCATGCCTGGCTAATTTTTGTATTTTTAGTAGACACGGGGTTTCACCATGTTGGTCAGGCTGGTCTTGAACTGACCTCAGGCGATCCGCCCGCCTCAGCCTCCCAAAGTGCTGGGATTACAGGTGTGAGCCACCGCGCCCGGCTGGTCGTTGGGATTTTAACGGCCCTGAGGCCCCTCCCACTGCCAGATGCCAGCCCACCCAGCAGCCCTGCTCCCCTGCCCACACGCAGAAGCCACCAGAGGCTTCTAGGCTGAGCCCCCACTGTCCTGCAGTCGGGTTGGCCCCTCCACACTGCAGGGCCTGGATGTGTCTGCTCAGTAGCCGAAGCCTCACAGACGGGGCAGATGAGGCCGGGACAAAGCTCTTCCGCTGCAGGCAGGGGTCTGAAGGCATCTCAGAGGGCCCCCACCCAAGGGACACTGCCTGGAAACCCTGGGACAAGATGACCTCGGTTCACATCTTAAGACCTTCTGGCAGCCTTAGAGAAAGCTTGTGGAGGGAGGGGCTGGTTCCCAGGATGGGCAGAAGCCAGAAAGTCTCAGACTGCGGGACCCTCGGGGGCTTCAGAAGGCACTGGGTGGGCTCTGCCAGAGTGAGGAGGCAGCTGATGGCCGCTGGAGCCGGCCCCGGGAGTGGGGGTCCAGCTATGGTCTGGAGAGGGGGACTTGAGGGTTGCAGTGTCCATACAGGTGGGGCACAGGAGCCACGGGAAGGGACACGGCAGAGCCCAAGGGCAGACCGGCGCTCCGTGGACTGGTCTGAGGGCAGAGGCTGTCGGGGAGCGAGGGCAGTGTGGCTCACAGGCGGACACAGGGACATGTTTCTGTGGACTTGGCCGCTCGGTGGGGGTGTATCCCCCAGCAGTGGTGTGTGAGGGATGGTCACTCTGATGGGACACCGGCCACTTGGCCTCCAGCAAGATCTAGGCCCGAGTCTAGGTTGAAGCCGCCCACTCAGCCCCGGGACGTCGTCCCCGGTGGCTCTGCTGAGCACGCCAGCTATGGCGCCCTTGGGGGGTCATGGCCCGAAGTCGACTGTCCTGGCTTCCAGGGCCACACCTTGGCCAGGCCGGTGATGGTCGTGTCCGGCCGCTCCAGCTGGGCTGATGGGGCCGTGAGTGAGTGCGGCTGCTCCCTTGCAGGCTGACCCAGCTGGATGTTGACAGCCACCTGGCCCAGTGCTTGGCGGAAAGCACAGAAGACGTGATGTGGTGAGCACCATCCAGGGAGCCCTGCGCAGTGTGCGGCGCCCGGACGCGCCCTCCCCCTGCAGAAGCCCCTCCTCTCAGCTCTCCAGCTTGTGCATTAAAGCAGGGCGGGCGCCTGTCTCTGTCTCTCTTCGTGTTGTGATGGAACATCTGTGTTTTTCTTTCTGACGTTTGGTTTAGGGCAGATTCACTGCAGTGAAATCAGAACCGGACACAGCCCCAGGCGGGTAAGCTGACCCCTTTCACCCGGCGCCCCGCGGGGGACGGCGGACGGGCTGAGGGCCGCTCGCTTTCCTAACTTTGTGGACAGGCCTGGTTCGCTCACGTGCAGTCACGGTTTTGTCTTTTTTTGAGACAGGGTCTCGCTCTGTCGCCCAGGCTGGAGTGCAGTGGTGCAGTCACGGCTCATTGCAGCCTCAGACTCCTGGGCTTGATGATCCTCCCACCTCAGCCTCCTGAGTAGCTGGGACTACAGGTGCGTGTCACCACACACAGCTACTTTTAGTACTTTTTGTACAGATGGAGGGGTCTTGCCATGTTGCCTAGGTTGGTCTTGAACTCCTGGGCCTGAGCAATCCTCCCGCCTTGGCTTCCTGAAGTGCTGGGATTATAGGCATGAGTCACCGGCCCCAGCCTCTGGTTGCGTTTTTTGTTGTTGTTGTTTTTGAGACAGAGTCTCGCTCTGTCACCCAGGCTGGAGTGCAGTGTTGTGGTCTCGGCTCACTGCAAGCTCCGCCTCCCAGGTTCACGCCATTCTCCT